ACACACCACACACACACACACACTAAATAAATGTAAAAATAATTCACAGAAGAGCGCTCTGGAGGGCAGCGTCCAGACTGAGAGAACACCAACCACCTGGCTCTGAGAACTGAATTCCATAGGCTGTGAGCTCTAGCAAATGCCCTAGGGACTCAGTTCTGGTGCCCGGCTGTGCTATCCCGTCAATGCCAGAGTTACAGGAAACCGGATGGTTCTCATCCACAGCTGCCCAGCAGGTGCTCCTGGAGGCTCCTTGGCCAAACCCTTTACAACATCAACTTGGGGTATTCTTCTGCTCAAAGGCTTCATGACTTTCTAACAGTCTACCCCACCTCCCTCCCCCCTCTGAGACAAGGCCTTCTATAGCCCAGGATACCTCTCTAGCTAGCCAAGGATCACCTTGAACTACGACCCTTGCTGCCTCCACCTCCCAAGTGTTTACAGACATGCTCCTCTATCCGGCCTGTGTCTGTTCGCTGTCAGTCCTCCAGAATGGTTTCCACGTAGCTTCCAGGGCTGATCTTCCACTGCTGTCTCCATGATGGCCTGCTGCTTCCTCCTGCGGCTGCCAAACTCGCTCTTGCTGTCTCCTGCTAGGCTCTTCTTGGCTGCCTCTTCCCCATCACTCTCTAGCAGAGTTCTATTTGTCTTTTGAAGCCTCTTCCAACTTCCCAACAGTACAGGTTCCTCATGTTCCTATTCAGTGGGTAGATCCACAAGCCCCTTGCCCTGGTATTGTCTAACCCAGGGTTCTGCACGTGACAGTTCCCTCAAGAAACATTCCTTGCATTTTGTGTATGTGTCTTGTGTATGACGAGGAAGTTTGACCTAGAGATTAAAGTCAATAAGATCACATTCTCATTTTATAACCGATATAGGACTGTGTCAGGCTGCTTCCTCGTATGTAAATGGAAATAATAATTATATCCACATCGAAGTTTTGTGAATTGATAAACGCCTGCACGGGGCTTTAGCATAGCACCTGGCACAGAGCAAGCCCTCAGAAGTGTGGGAGACCATGGTTCTTATTCTAGTCCTTTAAAAGATACTTTATTATTTATCTGTTGTGTGTGTGTATATGTGTGTGTGGAGTATGCATGGTACAGCATGCGTGTGGAGGTCAGAAGACAGGGGCGTTGGTTCTCTTCTACCATGTGAGTCTCAGGTACTGAAATCAGTAGTTAAGCTAGGCCTCAATACCTGTACGGGCTGAACCATCTTGCTAGTGCCTTGTTCATTAGGTTTTTCTAAGTAGAATGGGAATTATTCAGTGGGAAGGGCAGTTGTCAAATGGTGTGGGACTTGAAATTTATCTGTCAGGCCTTGCTGTGTGATGGGCTCCACACTGATCCTTGGGCTGAGCGGTGTTAGGGCCAGGAGAGGGCAGCTGTGAGGATCAGGGCTTGGGTGCTCAGGTCCTCCTGGGAGCTGCGAATTCTGTATTTCCACCTACTATGTGACCTTGGATGAGCACCCTCTTGTAAATCTGGAGTCCTGACAGGATGAACATTGAGGCAGGGAGTCTTGAAGAGCAAATGAACTGTAAGATCTCAGGCAGTCTGGGTTTTATGAGTCCTGCGCTTTGCTTTAAAAGTTAAGTTCAAAAAGGAGCTCAAACAAGGAAGTGCTCTGCTCCCTGCAGGACTGGGAGTGGAGTGTGCTGCTGTGAGCTCTGTGAGAAGCAATGTCCTTCTCTGAAACCTGCAATAGGGGTCTTCCCCCTTCAGTATGTGAAGCCCGGAGCAATACAGGGAAACCACAGGGCACCATGTTTACAGGGCAGAGCATCAGCGACTGGCGGGGCGGGTGAAAGACCCAAGAAGAGGGAAAAGGAGCAGACAGAATGCAGAGAACATGTTATGTTGGTGTGGGGCTCACCATTTATTTGAAAACTTCATTTGTTTCAAAGTGTGGTTTGAACTTGGCTATGGAGACACATGCCTTTAATCCCAGTACTCGGAAGCTAGAACTCTCTCTGAGTTCTAGACCAGCTGAGTCCTACATAGGAATTCTAGGCCAGTCAGGGATACACAGTAAGATGCTGTCCTTTAAAAAAAAGTGGGGGAAAGAGCACCCAGGGGACCCAATGCCCTCTTCTGGTATTGGAGGGCACTAGACATACATAAGGTATACAACACACGCACACACACACACACACACAAAATAAAATAAAAGTAGATAAAATCAGAGGCTGGGGATATAGTTTATCAGGTAGGATTGTTTGCTATCAGAGTTTCTAGCTCTAGAATCTACATGGTGGAAGGAGAGAACTGCTTACCAAAAATTGTTCTGACTTCCGTAAGTACGTATGCCATGTGAGTGTATGAATGTAAAAGTAAAAAAATGGGGCCGGGCGGTGGTGGCGCACGCCTTTAATCCCAGCACTTGGGAGGCAGAGGCAGGCGGATCTCTGTGAGTTCGAGACAAGCCTGGTCTACAAGAGCTAGTTCCAGGACAGGCTCCAAAACCACAGAGAAACCCTGTCTCGAAAAAAAAAAAGTAAAAAAATGTTCTATTGTGGAATATTTGTTTAACAAGGCAAAGATGTGTTATATTAGTTTAACTATGTAAAGATGGGTTGCTGTTTTACCTTGTCTGCCTAAGGTACCTGATTGGTCCAGTAAAAAGATGACCGGCCAGTAGTGGGTAGTGGAGGGATAAGTGGGGCTGGCAGGCAGAAAGAGTAAGTAGGAGGAGGACTCTAGGCTCCAGAGAGGAGAGAAAGAACAAGGGAGAAAGAGAAACACCCAGGGCCGTCAGTCACGAGCCAGCCAAGAAGGAAGTGGTGAAAGTAGACATACAGAATGAAAGGTAACAAGCTCCGAGGCAAAACATAAGATGAAAAAGGCTAAATTCAGTTATAAGAGCTAGCGGGAGAAGCATAAGATAAGGCCGAGCATTCATAATTAATATTAAGTCTCCGTGTCATGATTTGGGAGCGGGTTGATGGCCCCAAAGAAAGCCTGCTACAATATCCAGACATGATAAAAAAATAACTTAGTGCCTGAGAGGCAGAAGCAGGCAGATCTCTTGTGGATTCAAGGCCATTTTGGTCTATAAAGCAAATTCTAGGTCAGCTAGGCTATACAATAAGACGCTGTCTCAAAAATAAATAAAAATATGAAAAAATCAGTGACAGTTATATAGAATTTATTTTTGAAACCTCTTTTAACATTATAGTAACATAGCAGGCAGTGGTGTTGCACACCTTTAATCCCAGCACTCTGGGGGCAGAGTCAGTTTATTCATTGTGAGTGTGTGTGTGTGTGTGTACCAACAGGGCCTGAGTTACAACTTCAACACCCACGTAAAAAGCCAGGCATACTGGTCATGCCTATCCCCCCAGCACTGGGGTGTGGAAAGAGGAAGATGGTTGGCTCCTACTAGTTCTAGCATAGTGGTAAGCCCCAGGTTCCAGTGAGAAACCCTGTTTCAAAAAACAAGGGGGGTGGGGACCCACCTGGCAGCCAACAACTGTTTAACTCCAAGATCTGATAGCCTCACACAGACATATATGCAGGCAAAACACCAATGCACATAAATCAAAATAAGCTAATTTAAAAAAAAGTGGGCTGCCGGGCAATGGTGGCGCACGCCTTTAATCCCAGCATTCGGGAGGCAGAGGCAGGTGGATCTCTGTGAGTTCGAGACCAGCCTGGTCTACAGAGTTAGTTCCAGCACAGGCTCCAAAGCCACAGAGAAATCCTGTCTCGAAAAACCAAAACAAAAAACAAACAAAAAAAAAAACCAAACCAAACAAAACAAAAAAAAAACAAAGTGGGCTGAGGAGTGGGGCCTCCTCGGACACCTACAACCTACACTGATATGCATACATAATCCACAAACACACAGACAGACACACACCTGATAAGGTTTTGCAGTCTTACTATGTAGCCCTGGCTCTAGTTTGGAACTTACAGAGATCAAGATCTGTAAACCTCTGCTTCTGAGTGCCAGGATTAAAGGTTTCTCCATTCAAGCCCATCAACACCACTACTAAAATACTGCATTAAAAGCATGCGCCGCCGCCACCCAGCCCCCAGCTCCATTTCTGAGGGAAAAAAACTAGTAAAGTGTGGTCCCATTATATACGGGGACCCCCAAGTAGGCTGAGACAGGAAAACTGCTGCCAGTTTGAGGTCAGCCAGGGTTAAATAATAGCAAGACCTTCTTTATTATGAAACTAAAGAATGTTAGCAAGAATTGGGATAAACCCGGCGTGGTGATACAAGCCTTTAATCCCAGCATTTGGAGGCAGAGGCAGGCGGATCTCTGTGAGTTCGAGGCCAGCCTGGTCTACAAAGCAAGTTCCAGGACATCTAAAGGCGGTTATACAAAGAAACCCTATCTCAAAAATAAAATAAAATCAAAACAATAAATAATAAAAAGGGTAAAAGAATGAATGAGATTCCTCTGAACATCTAGGTAAGCTAATTTTATATGTTTTACAGATGTGATAGTTGAGGGGCCCAGAGAGGACACATGGCTAGGAAAACGTCAGAAGCAGCTCTAAACCTAGCTCACAAGTGACATTTTCCAGTTACTCCCACACTTCAAAACCACCCTAGGTCTGGAGAGTGAGTCCAGGAAGATGAGTCTAGAAGATCATCGAGTGTGCACTGCAGAGATGCTGTTGAAGCCCCAGACACGCAGAGAGGCTGGCAAAATGCCAACTTCTTAACAGTTAAAAGGAGTCGGACTGTGAGGCAGGCAGATGTCTGTGAGTTTGAGGCCAGCCTGGTCTACAGAGCGAGTTCCAGGGCAGCCAAGACTACACAAAGAAACCCTGTCTTGAAAAAGAAACCAACAAAAAACTATCTCGCAGTGAACACTAGACAAGCTGGAAGAGGAGGGCAAGCGGGGCCCACACAGCCGGCTAAGGGCGGAGAGAAGCATCTAGGTGCTGCTTTCACCCCAAGACCTTCTCTCCTTTCCCGCACCGTCGAGCGGGTTTCACTCAAGAGAAACCATACTCGGGGCCGGCAGGCGCGCAGGCGCGCTCAGCGCAGACCTTGCTTCTTCTTGGGGCGGCCACGCTGCACCGCCTCGGGAGCGGCCCGGCTGTCCCCGCCGTCCCCGCCGTCCCCACCGCCTGCCGGCCGGCGCACTACACGCCTCGCCACCTGGTACTCGGGCTCGCCCACGCGCGGCGCGGCCTGCAGCAAGAACTGGCTGCCGCGCCGGGTGACGCGTACGTCGGTGCGTGGGTAGGTGCCGTACACGCGCCGCAGCTCGCGGCGCACCGCGTCTGGCAGCGGCAGGGGCCGTCCCCGCGTGCGCTCCACGCATCCCCAGCGCAGCCGCAGCTGCAGGCTGCCGCCCTCAGGCCACTGTCCCCAGCCCTCGGCGTCGGGCGCGGGCTGGGATGGTGCTGACGCGCCGGCCGCGGGGAACGACGGGCCAAGGGTCGCGGCACACGGCCGCGGGAAGAACCACCAGGGCGGCGTGGAGGCCAGGGTCGCACGGTAGAAGCAGTGGAATTCACGCGGGGCCGCGCTCAGCCCGGCCGGCCGGCTGCAGAAGTTGTGGGTCTGGATGGGCGGCAGCAGCAGGGGAGCGGGCAGGTAGGTGTAGGTGAGGGACTGCAGCCGAGGCCAGATGCCCTCCTCAGGCGGCAGGCAGACGTAGGAGTACATGACCTGAACCTCAGGAGGCAAGCATTTTTACTGGGTCCAGACCTGTGGATGGTGGATAGATACGCAATTCTTTTTTGTTTGCTTCTTTGTTTTTCGAGACAGGGTTTCTCAGTGTAGCTTTGAAGCCTGCCCTGGAACTTGCTCTTTAGACCCAGGCTGGCCTCGAACTCACACAGATCCTGCTGCCTCTACCAACCGAGTGCTGGAATTAAAGGTGTGCCGTCCGGCTGGGTACACAATTCTTAACCACCACAAGTTGCTGGACCCGGGCTCTGGTTCATGGCCTGGGTCTTGCGTGTCTGACTGATGGCCTTCAGCAACCTTTCCTGAGTCAGGCATTCAGCCCCCCACCTTCTCATCCGGGAATGTAGATCTGTTAATAGAGTGTCTAACATGCCCAAAGCCCAGGGTACAATCCCACCAGATCCAGCCTGTAGTCCCAGGACTCTTGGAGTAGAGGCAGGAAGACCAGGAATTCAGGGTCAACCTGTTAGAGAGCAGCCTGGGCTACGAGAGACCCTGTCCCCAAACAAGCAACCCCTCAGGTACCCAGGCTTTTCAAGCCCTCAGCCCCTGGTATGATTTCCCTTTAACTCTTCCCATTCACTTGCCTCCTTCAGCCTAGTGGGATTTTTCTCCAGCCTTTGGCAGAGCCAGAACAGTCCAGGACAGAGCTTCTCTCCACCACTTTACAGTTGCATTCTTCCCTTACATGCCTGCTTTAGCCTCACCTCCCTGTTACTAGGCAAAGAGAAACACCTTGAGCTGGCTGGGAGCCAGCCAGTGTGTAGACTGAGCAGGAACTAGGGCCCAGTGACCCCAAGCAAAAGGCAGTAGCCTGAGCTTACACATGCACTCCTCAGAACATTGGACGCTTCCACCCCTTTTTAATAAAGTCCCAGCACCTGCGAGATGGTCCACAGCCCCCTGCAACTCCAGGTTTAGGGAATCTGGCCTCCGAGGATTCCTATGTGCACGTATCACACAAATTTGTGCAAGCAAACTCATAACCTGAATAAAATAATAATCTTCTCTTTTTTTATTTTTTTTAATATTTATTTATTTATTATGTATACAATATTCTGTGTGTGTGTCCGCAGGCCAGAAGAGGGCACTAAATCTCATTACAGATGGTTGTGAGCCACCATATGGTTGCTGGGAATTGAACTCATGACCTTTGGAAGAGCAGGCAATGCTCTTAACCACTGAGCCATCTCTCCAGCCCTAAAATAATAATCTTAAGAGAGTACTCTAGACTACATATGAATCCAATGTAATTATGAGAACTTCAAACATGGAAGAGGTGGGCCAGAGTCATACTGATGCCTGCCAGAAAAGACTTTTCCCACCAGAAAGAGAGAGATGAGAGATTCAAGCACAGAAGCCTGCAGAAGGGAAGAGTCAAGCCAACACCTTCCTTTTAGCCAGTAGGACCCATTTCAGACTTTCCGTCTCCACAGCTGGTAAATTTTCAGTTTGTCACACCCAAGAGGACTCCTACTTCTAGAACCTGCTGTTTATATAACTTTGTCCCTCTGTAACCAGCACCTGAGGACTAGTCAAGGTTATCCATGGGCTGATCTCATGCCAGCCTAGACATGAGTGACAGGCCCCATGGACTGGTCAGCTTTACCTGTGTGTACTTCCTCAGGAGAGTCTCGTTTTACCTGGTTGGTGGACGGATACACGTCAGACCAAGTTCAAGCCGAGACTGAGAAGGTGCAGACCCTGAATTTTAGTACGGGTGCCTTTGTGCTTGCTGCTCTGAGGTTTTAGGCTCAATGAGGGAAATAGGGGTCAAGTTGTGAGTCAGGGTTTATTCACTCTGGCTCTAGAAATATCCCTCATGTTTCGGGGATGTACACTTTCCTCTTTTAGAAATATTTATTCATTGGGGCTGGAGAGATGGTTCAGAGGTCAAGAGCACTGACTGCTCTTCCAGACAGTGCTCTTCTAGAGGTCCCAGCAACTACATGATGGCTCAACTATCTATAATGAGATCTGGTGCTCTCTTCTGGCCTGAAAGCATACATGCAGGCAGAACACTGTATACATAATAAATACAACTTTAAACAATGTAGTAATGGGGCAGCGGGGCTGCGTTCCCAGCACCCCGGCCACCTGCTCGGCTAGCTTATGCTCCGAAATAACAACACACAAACTGTATTCATTTAAACACTGCTTGGCCCATTCTCTTCTAGGCTAATTCTCACATATTAATTTAGCCCATTTCTAATCATCTGTGTTGCGCCCCTAGGTGCGCTTACCGGGAAGATTCTAGCCTATGTCCATCCTGGGTCGGAGCTTCATAGCGTGCATCTGCCCAGGAGCGAGGAGCATGGCGTCTCTCTCAGGCATCTGCTGCAGAGAGGAGAGCTGTCAAGACTGAGCTCACTTCCTCTTCCTCCCAGCGTCCTGTTCTGCCTACTCCTCCCACCTATCTTTCAACCAATAAAATGGGCCAAGGCAGTTCCTTTATTAGCCAATGACCTTCCTCCATCAAAACAATGTTTATTCAGGGCTGGAGAGATGGCTCTGAGGTTAAGAACATTAGCTGCTCTTCCAGAGACCCAAATTCAATTCCCAGAACCCACATATGGCTCACAACCATCTGCAGTGAGATCTGGTGCCCTCTTCTGGCCTGTAGGCATATATGTGGGCAGAATACTGTACACATAATAAATAAATCTTTTAAAAATGTTTATTTATTTAATTTTATGCATATATGTGTGTTTTCCAGAGTCTGTGACTACACCATGTGTGTGCAGAAGTCCTTCAGACGAAGGGTTCACTCCCCTGGGACTGGAGTTACCTATGGATGGTTGTGAACTGTCATGTAGGTGCTGGGATTGAACTTGGGTCCTCTGGAAGAATAGGCAATGCTCTTAACCTCTGATCCATCTCTCCGGCCCCTTTTCTTTTTGAAACAGCGTCTAGCTGTGCAGTTCTGGTTGACCTGAAGTGATGTGGAATTCCCCTCTCTCTGCTGTAAATACCATTGGTAATAAAGAAACTGTCTTGGGCCTGTTATTCAGAATCCTTTTCTATCTAATTCTTCTTTTAATTTTTTTTAAAACAGTTTTTTTTTTTTTTTGGTTTTTTCGAGACAGGGTTTCTCTGTGGCTTTGGAGCCTGTCCTGGAACTAGCTCTGTAGACCAGGCTGGCCTCGAGCTCACAGAGATCCGCCTGCCTCTGCCTCCCGAGTGCTGTGATTAAAGGCGTGCGCCACCACCGCCCAGCCATTAAAACAGTTTTTTTCTCAGCCGGGCAGTGGTGGCGCACGCCTTTAATCCCAGCACTTGGGAGACAGAGGCAGGTGGATCTCTGTGAGTTTGGGGCCAGCCTAGTCTATAAAAGCTAGTTCCGGGGCTGGAGAGATGGCTCATAGGTTAAAAGCATTGACTGCTCTTCCAGAGGTCATGAGTTCAGCTCCCAGCAACCACTTGGTGCCTCACAACCATCTGTAATGAGATCTGGTGCCCTCTTCTGGCGTTCAGGCAAACATGTAGACAGAACACTACATATAATAAATAAAATAAATTAAAAAAAAATAATAAAGCTAGTTCCAGGACAGGCTCCAAAGCTACAGAGAAATCAGGTCTCAGAAAAAAACAAAAACAAAACAAACAGTTTTTTTCTCATTTTACATGCCAATCCCAGTTCCTTCTCCCTCCCCTCCCCTCCTCCCTCTCCCCCCACCTTCCACCCACCTCACGCCCCCATCCACTCCCCAGAGAGGGTAAGGCTTCCCGTGGGGAGTCAACAAAGTCAGGCACGTCACTTTGAGACAGGACCAAGCCCCACGTCAATATACCTAGGCTGAGTATAGTATCCCCCCAAAGAGAATGGGCTCCAGAAAGACAGTTCAAGCACTAGAGACAAGTCCTGGTTCCACTGCCAGGCCCCACAGTCTACCCCAGCCACACAACTGTCACCCACATTCAGAGGACCTAGTTTGGTCCTATACAGGTTCCCCGCTGTCAGTACGGAGTCAGTGAGCTCCCACTAGCTCAGGCCAGCTGTTTCTGTGGGTATCCCCATCACGGTCTTGACTCCTTTGCTCGTGTTATCACTCCTTCTTCTCTTCACTGGACTCTGGGAGGTCGGCCCGGAGCTAGCTGTGGATCTCATTACCTCTACGAAGAGGTCGGGCTGCGTGCTTGTGGCTTGAAGGTCCAGTGCCTGTGTCTGATATTCCCTGGCTGCTGTGATCCGAATCCTCATACCCACAGCTCGAGCAGTACTTCGTTCTCACAGGGCTCACAATCCAGCCTTAGATAGTCCCTCATCAGGAATGTCTGCCTCAGCTGGCGGTGCTAAACGTTTGCTCATCCTCTTTGGACTGGGAACAGGGTAGGGGAAGAGAGCATCCCCAAGAGAAACTTGATTTGAGCTGAAATAACAGGTAAAAGAGAGGGGATAAGTCGGTCAGGAGTCCAGGCAACCTGTTTGCTGATGCCCACTTTCTTTTGGGTCCCTAAGGGCAAGAGCCCATGACAAACATGGAAGCAACAGCCTCAGGCGCCGTCACCTGCCCGGACTGCGGTCGGGCGAGCAGCGCGGAGCCAATCGCTGGGAAGGGGCGGGAGGAGAGACCCGGCAAGCCCGGGGCTGCTAGCGCGCAGGCGCACTGGCTGGCACCTGGCTCCCGGCAGCCGCGGAATTAGGCATCCCCTGCCAGGATTGCGGTGAGCTGCTGGCCCGCGGCCGGGAAGAGGGGGCAGGAACCTACCGGACCTACAAACGACAAGCCCGAGGGTGGGGCGGGGATGCTTTGCGGTGTGAGAGTCTTTGGGACAATTTGCGGGGTTCCTTGCGGAATCAGATTGTGGATTGGGAAATTCTGGGGTCAGGAGGAGTTGTGTTCAAGGGGTAAGCGTAGAATCCCTGCAGAAACTGTTGGGGTAAGGAGAGGGGATGCAATGTCCAGGGTGTCCCCAGAAGAATCTGAGTTCGTGGATGCGATGGTTCAGGCCGGGATCCACACACTGACCTGATGGACCTTAACCCTGGTGGCACATTTGGGAAGCCTGAAAAAATTATGGTGGGCATCACCTCCAGAGACCCCAATTTAGTGGTCTGGGTAAGGCCTTGGTGTTTGAGAATCAAAAATCAGGTGATTTTAACGTGCAAACATAACGAAAACCACTACACGTATTTCTGAGTAAAAACTTCCCGGTTGATGCCCAGTTCCTCAGGGACTTAAGTGTTCTGTGATTCTGAGGTGAATCGGTGACTTTTGTGCCAGGATAGAATTCTGTGAAGGAGGGAGAAAGTCCCTCTCCAATGGGTGGAAGCCCCATTTCCCGCCCGAGGAGTGTCAACCTGTTATTATGGGGGAGAGAACAGGGCCCTTCTGCAGCTCTCCTAGGGCTTCCCTGGCCGGGCTGTGAAGATGCCAAACACGTGTGAAACAAGGAGATAGCAATCCAGTCAGCTGCTCGCCGAGAAAATGGCATGCCTCCTGTTTGCTTTGCTATTATGCCTCAAACTTCCACCTGTTCATCTGATAGTCCTTCCAGGACAGGCAGGAAATAGATTTGCTCTCTGCGCTCCACAGATGTGGGGATAAACTCCGACGTCTAGTTGGTGATAATATTCAGCCTTGACCTAGTACAGCGAATACCACCTTACTTAGTAGCTTCTCCCCACCCCCCTGCTGTGGTCACTACAGACTAAGGCCAGAACTTCCCAGAGAAGCCACAGCCACCCTCCTGTCCACATTCCAGGCCCAGCCTGGTTTCCTCCCCCAATTCCATTAGGGACCCCTACCTGGGCTCACCAGGGCTTGCTGGGAGTTGCGGTCTTTCCTGTTCTTTATCTCCCAGGAACCTTGGAGCGTGAACTGCCAGGGGAGGGATTGGCCAGTCACCAGAGGGCTTCTAAAACAGAAATGCTTCCGTGGTCTCTTAGGGTACTCGGTTGGTGCCATCATCTTGATAGAATCTTTTGGAGGCTTACCAAAGGCCTTCTATCTCGTCTGGCCTCTTTTACTGCCGGGACCATGTTCGGCCCATATTGTTTTCTTAGCATGGTGTTGTGCCCTTGGAGAAAGTGTAAAAAATGTTTCAACTCTCCCCTCTGTATAGCTGCAGCCTTGGTCCGCATGTATCTCTCAGAGGGACAGTGCCTGCTCCAGGTTGCTGTTTTTCCAGTTCCCATAGCCAGCCACAACACCCAGTGTGGGCTCTGGGAGTTTTCCAGTGACTGCCCTCTCTAAGGCAGAGGACACCCGCATCCACCTTTTAGGGACAATGGACTAAGCAGGCATTAATTGAGCACTTGCTGTGTGGTAGAGGAGCTTGGGAGGACCACGATGAGATTGGCCTAGCCTTGCCCTTAAGGAGCTTGTGGGCTGGGGGAGATAAGGAACCCGAGGTACTTGAAAAGGTGGCTGAGCCTGGAGGTGAAGACCTGGCCTGGGCACTGGCTGAGCAGGATTCCGCCAGACTGTGGAAGGGGTGCTTGGTGACGTGAGAAGTGTTGAGGTCTGAAGTCAAAACCGATTTTGAGCCGTGTCTCCGGCACCTTGTAGCTTGTGACTGTGGGCCGATTATTTAACCTCGGACTTCAGAGCCTTGGTTGCTTCTATAAAATGTGGATGGGAATAGTAACTGCCCTGCGAAGGAGTCGCTGTAGTGGATGTGGAAGCCAGGCCCGTCCTAAATGTCCGGACACATGGGAAGGCAGGGGATGCTGCAGGCAGCGAGATGCATCCATGCTGAATACTGCAACGCAGCTCAGCTGGGTGTGGGGGTATAAACCTGTTATCCAGCACGGGAGAAGCTGAGGCAGGAGGATTGCCACAAGTTTGAGGCCAGCCAGGACAGCACAGGTTACATAGTGAAATCCTACCTCAAATAAACAACAAAAAAGACTTTAGTTACATACTTGTCAGAGGGATGCCTAACTGGTCCCTAACTGAATTTTTTAAAAAAGAAAACATTTTATGTATGTATGTGTCTGTGTGTGTGTGTGTGTGTGTGTGTGTGTGTGTATATATATATATATATATATATATATATATATATATATATGTTGTTGGTTGTTTTACTCTTTTGGGTCTTTGGGGGCCCATCACTCAGTTCCCAAATAAATCACACACGAAGTCTTTGTAATGGTCTGTCCTGTCCTGTTAAGAGACAAGCCCTGCCAACTCCCCCCTCCACACACACACACCACCCACTGAGGCAGGCAGATCATCCTTCTTTCCTGCAATTCGAGCCCATTCTTTCTGGCTCTCTCCCAAAGAGGTAGCTGCTGCCATGGCTCCTCTCCTCTCCCCCTACTCTCTCTTCCTCCCCCCCCCGTTTCTTTCCTTGTCCCCCTTCTCCCTCTCTCTCCCCTTCCCTTCCATAACCCACTAAATAAATATCCAACCTCACTCTGTATAGCGTGCCTATCCGTCTGTCTTTTACCTGCCTGCTGCAGCTCCTCATGAGACTGGCTACTCTGGCTCTCTGTCTCTCACCTGTTGTTTGCCATCATGCCTGTCTCAAGAACATTTTGTTGTTATTGTTGTCAAGATTTATTTAGCTTGGTGATGGTGGTGCACGCCCTTAATCCCAGCACTCGGGAGACAGAGGCAGGTGGATCCCTGTGAGTTCGAGGCCAACGTGGTCTTCAGAGTGAATTCTAGGATAACTATGGCTGTTACAGAGAAATCCTGTCTCGAAACCCCCTCCCACAAAAAAAGATTGATTCAGTTTTACCTGTATGTGTGTTGCCTGAGTGTATGTATGTGTACCATCTACATGCAGGAACCATGAGGTCATAGGGCAGTAGGTCCTCTGGAACTGGAGCTGGCGTGTGGATCTGGAAACTAAACTGGGTCTCATACAAGAACAATGATGCTCCTAACCACTGAGCTATTCCTCCAGCACCTCCCTCACCTTCCATCTTTATACGGGTCCCGTGGATCAAGCACAGGTCTCAGTGCTGGCACAGCAAGTGTTTTTAAACCCTAAACCATGTCCCCAGCTCCCAGCTGATTTTAAAGGTCACGAACCCGGCCAGAGCTGTTGTTTATGGAGCCTCCTCCGTGTCCTAGGCTCTAAGCTTGCTGCTTGTTTTCTGTTCATTTTGCATTTAGACCCCACTTTAAAGGAGTTGGTATCAACTTCCCCGCTGGCCCAAGGCCACCCACTAGGCCATTCTCAGGATGGGGCCTCCAGCTCTTGTGCAAGGGTGTGGTGAGCCTGGTCGCAGGTTACAGTCACAGGATCTGCAGGCTTATGCACCTAGAACAATGTGGGCTCCGTGCTATCCTTGGGGCCTCTGCTGGCTTGTGGAGTGGGTTGAGGGTGGGAAGACCAGAGGAGGAAGGCTGTTTGCTGATGGAGGAGTGGAATCTGGAGGGGAATCAGGGAAAGCTCCGACACACCCACTGTCTTCCTCCACCTGAGGTCTGTGACTTGTGGGGGGGGTGGAGGGATGTTCCCCGGAGTTCCTTCTGTGTGTTCTTGTTTGCGGGCTTCCTCTCTGACTCTCCTGTGTCTATGTTTTTCCTCTACTTCCCTTACTTCAGAAAGCACCCTGAGTTCTAGGATATTCTACCAGCTCTGACCCAATCTTCTTTAAGAAAATGCTAAATTTGGGAGTAGAGGCAGACAGGTCTGGGAGTTCCAGGCCGTCCTGATCTGAAGTTCCACTGTCTCGAGATAGCAAAGGCCTATTTTTGAGCATCTGCCTGTGCCTGGTGTGGTACTCAGGGTGTCCTGAGTATTAGTTTAAGGTTTGCTGTAGTCTGGTAAGGACAGCTCTTATTTGCCCATCCTGCAGATGAGCAAGTCGAGGCGCAGTAGTAGTAAATGACTAAATTTACTCAGTAGTAGTAAATCTAGTAGACTAGATTCACCTGTAGGAGGATGTAGTGATTTGAACCCTTTCCCTTCTAAGGGCAAAAATCACCAGCCTTTGAGGTCTTCTAGCCTGGCCTCAGCATGGGTTCAGGGAGGTCCTCCTCCGGTGACAAGAGCCAGTCATTGAGTAGGAGTGGCCTTTGGCAAAGGCTGTGTTTTGAGAGGGACAAAGTTACTGTTCTATTGCTGGGCAGAGACACCATGACCAAGGTGACTCTTATGAAAGAAAACATTTCACTAAGGTTTGCTTACCATTTCAGAGGCTTAGTCCATGGTCACTGTGGTAGGGAGCATGGCAGCACACAGCCAGGCACAGAGCAGTAGCTAAGGGCTACAGTCTGATCCCCAGGCAGAGGAAGAGCCTAGGCATGGCTTGGGCTTGGGAAAACTCAAAGCCCACCCTCAGTGACACACTCCCTCAACAAGGCAACACCTCCTAATCCTTTTAATCCTTTCAAACAGTTCCACTCCCTGGGGACTAAGCATTCAAAAATAGGAGCCTATGAGGGGCATTCTTATTCAGACCGCCACAGTGCCGGGGACCTAAGTTATGGATAGTAATAGAAGTGATAGTTTGTGTTGTGCTCCCAAAGGTCCTGAAGCCACATTTTCTGTGCTATGTGTGTATTTGTGTGGTCCGGGCAGTGGTGGCACACGCTTTTAATCCCAGCACTTGGGAGGCAGAGGCAGGTGGATCTCTGAGTTCAAGACCAGCCTAGTCTATAAAGTGAGCTCCAAGATGGCCAAGGCTACAAAGAGAAATCCTGTGTTGAAAAACTAAAACAAAACAAAACAAAAAAGGTGTGTGTGAGTGAGTGTGTCTCTGTGTATGAGTGTGTGTCTGTCTCTCTGTGTATGCGCATGGGTGTATTGAAACAAAATCTCACTATGTAGAGGAGAGGAACTAAGGTTACCTTGACGATGCTATGAGCACACTGCCCAAACCCACCGTGGTCGTGTCTAGACAGTAGCAGGTGTACAGTGGGCTGAGCAGCAGCCCCATAACGTGAGCAGACCCAGGACTTGGATGCCCACTTTCTCTTCCCATGGCCTTCTCAGTTTCCTGGACCAGCTCCAGAGTGGTGGCCTCTGGCCTGGATTGTTTCTGCCCTGCTTCACTGGGAATTCCCCAGCTTTGTTTTAGATGCAAATTCCTCACAAAGGAAACGAGTTTAAGAAAAAAAATTTTTCGGTGTCAGGGCTTAAACCCAGGAGCTGCCGAGCTACAGATCCAGCCTAGGATGAGTTATTTTATCTTATGGGTCGTTAAACGATTCAGAGGGCTAGACTGGAGAAGGAGTTTTTCCTGATCCTTATTTCTGACTGGCTTCTTCTTCCCCAGAGACGAGCATGATCCCACTGCCATTGTCTGTAAGCCCTCCTCCGTGCTCCTGGGGCTGAGGCTTGGCCAGCAGCCATGAGACTAGACTGGCCCCAAGCCTGGCTGTTGGGCCTGCCCACAGCCGTGGTGTATGGTTCCTTGGCCCTCTTCACCTCCGTCCTGCATAACGTGTTCCTGCTGTACTACGTGGACACGTTTGTCTCGGTGTATAAGATCAACAAACTGTCCTTCTGGATTGGAGAGGTAGGCCAAGCATGGCGCAGCCTGTTGGGGAGGAGACTAGACATCGGGTTTCCAGGCAGACAGAGGAGCTGGGTTCTGTCCTAGTGTTAGGCACTTGGGGCAGGCTGTGTTGTTCAGCAGGACTCAGCCAGAAAAGCTGGCAGGGTCTTAATGGCTCTTCAAGAGAATTCTAGCTCCTGACCGCTGCCTTAGGTGTCCACAGTTGTATATTCATAATGTAGCCAAATGCTTATCTGCTGGATATACTTACCAGCCAGGAGAGGGGCTTTGCCACTGGAAGCGCTGCCATCTTTGGGGAAAGTGCAGAGACTAGAGTAGGGAAGCCTGTGCTGTTGTGGGTGCAGCCCACCTTCCCTTCTCTCTGCTTGCAGGCTGTATTCCTCCTCTGGAACAGCTTCAACGACCCCCTCTTTGGCTGGCTCAGTGACCACAAGTTCCTCAGCTCCCAGCCCTGGTGTGTGTCTTCCAGACGGCGCGTCACAGCCCCAACCCTACCCTGATGTTCCCCAAGCTGGAGCACTGTTCACAACTGGGGTGGGAAACGGAAGGGACACCGGTTGTGGTATGAGGATGGCTGGGCCAGGGGGAGGGGTCGACCCTAGTGACATGTGTAGCAACGAATAATAAAAGCCTAGAGTCAGAAATTGGGGTTCAACCCGAAAACCATAAAAGCAAGACAGTTAAGCCACAAGAAAAGTCTGCCCTCTACCAAGGCTGGGTGACCACAAGCTAAACAGACTAAGCCTCTCTCTCCTCCCATTTTACATTCCCTCTAGTGCTGAAATTAAAGGTGTGTGACTCCCTAGGACTGGGATTAAAGGTGTGAGCCGCCACCACCTGGATTTGTTTCTGCTTTGGTCTTGTGTAGCCCAGGGTGGCCTTGAGCTCACAGAGATCCACCTGCCTCTGTCTCCCAAATTCAGGGATTAAGGGTGTGTGTCACCATTGTCTGTCGTCTAGTGACTTTAGCTTTGCCTCTGGTCTTCAGGCAAGATTTCTCAATCAAAATACAAATCATATGGCTCATGACACTGCCGTTTCTAAAGCACTTCCTTACCACCACCAGCCTGAGAATCAGTATCTCATGGCTCTTTGGTCATCAGCCATGACAGGCTGGGGACAGACAATGGGCTGAGGAGGAGGTGGATGACTGGGAAGCTGTGCTTCTTAAGTCTCAAGTCGGGCTTGGGGTGTATCTTGGTGTGAATTCTTCCATTCCATCTCCTGGGCCCAGCCAGGGGAGCTGAGCTAGGGTCTGCTCAGGCCCAAAGGTTCCTTCCTAACGCCTTCTTCCCTCTGACAGGTCGGGAGCCGGGCTCTCCTCCAGAGACGTGGTGCTGACCCGGGTGAGGGCTCTGAGCTGGCACGGGCCCTTGTTGGCATTGTCATTCCTGGCCTTCTGGGTGCCCTGGGCCCCTGCTGGCTTGCAGTTCTTACTGTGCTTGTGTCTCTATGATGGCTTCCTGACCCTCGTGGACCTCCACCACCACGCCTTGCTGGCCGACCTGGCTCTCTCCGCCCACGACCGCACCCACCTCAACTTTTACTGCTCCCTCTTCAGTGCGGCTGGCTCCATGTCTGTCTTTGCCTCCTACGCCTTTTGGAACAAGGAGGACTTCTCCTCCTTCCGTGCCTTCTGTGTGGTACTAGCTGCTGGCTCTGGCCTGGGCTTCCTGGGGGCCACACAATTGTTGAGGCGGCGGATTGAGACCACCAGAAGGGACAGGGGGTACTCAGCCATGGTCGTGGATAGCGGGTGAGTCACCAGCCTTTGCTCCCTAGGGTCAGAGTCTGATTTTAACACTCGGTCCCCTGGCCCACTCTGGGCTAACCCTGCCGTCTCCTCCCCTCTGCCCACAGCGTATGTGAGGAAGAGCCTCTGGTGGGTGGTGAGGAAGCAGGCAGCATTACCTTGGGCCAGTACCTCCGGCAACTGGCACGCCACCAAAACTTCCTGTGGTTCGTGGGCATGGACCTGGTACAGGTATGGGAGCTGTTCCCTCACCCCTCCTTCAAGGGTACTTCGAGATGGAAATGGAGGAGCCCTCCTTGGGTTTGATGGTAGGAAGGTTGGGGAGTTAGGAGACCTAGGTTCTAGCACTTTCTGTGCTCCTTAGTCACCCCCTTGTGTGATTGCCCCCCATTCCCATAGTGCTGAGCCCAGGGCCTTGGATGTTCTTAGGTAATGACTCTACCACTGAGCTGCAGCCCTGCCTCTCTGTGTGATCTGAGGCAGTAGGTCTCAGCTTCTGAGGCTAATCCTGTCTTCATAATGTAAAGACTCAGATATACACACACACATCTATCTATCTATCTATCTATCTATCTATCTATCTATCTATCTTTGGTTTTTCAAGACAGGGTTTCTCTGTGTAGCTCTGTCTGTCCTGGAACTCACTGTGTAGGCCAGATTGGCCTTGAACTCACAGAGATCCACCTGCCTCTGCTTCCCAAGTGCTGGGATTAAAGACGGGTCCATCACCATCCAGCAAAACTTGTATTTTTAAAATACATTTTAAACACAAAAATATATTCATTATCTTTATACCATGAAAACTTAAAAATTGTTCTAGTTGCTATCTAACCACGCCTTCAAACTTTTAGTAAAATTAGGTAGGCCACAAGGAATGTCACTTAGGTTTGTTCTGGTAAGTTCCATGTTTGGTAGCATGGGGAGAGAGGCCAGTGCTCACCCTTGCTCAGAGGCTGGGGCTGCTGTCCGCCTGCTGGCTGTGCCCCGGTGAACTCCCACTATTATGTTCACCCTGAGGCCCAGCGCTGCTGCCCCCTGCTGGCCGTGGCCATGAATTCCCACCGTTCTGTGCACACTTGGCCCTGAGGCCCAGCGCTGCTGCCCCCTGCTGGCCCTGGTCATGAACTCCCACCCTTCGGTGCACTCTTGGCCCTGAGGCCCAGCGCTGCTGCCCCCTGCTGGCCCCGGCCTTAAACTCCCACCCTTCTGCCCCGCAGGTGTTTCACTGCCATTTCAACAGTAACTTCTTCCCTCTCTTCCTGGAGCACTTGTTGTCTGACCACATCTCCCTCTCGACAGGCTCCTTCCTGTTGGGTAAGTGAGGCCAGCAGCTTGCACATCCTGCTCCCAGTTCTGTTTCCCTGGGTGGAGGTCTAGTGGTCCTCACCTTAGTCCTCATGATGACGGTGTACCCACGGGACGTGATGCAGGGCATTGCCAGTGTACCGTTTGCTGAGCGGGCTTGGGTTTGTTCTTCAGTCTTTCTGAGCTACATTTGTTTTCTTTCTTTCTTTCTTACTTTCTGTCTTTCTTTCTTTCTTTTTTAAACACGGTTTCTCTGTATAGCTTTGACTGTTTTGGAACTAGCTCTGTAGACCAGGCTGGCCTAGAACTCACAGAGATCCACCTGACTCTGCCTCCTGAGAGCTGGGATTACAGGTGTGTGCCACCACCACCCAGGCAAAAAAATTATTTGAAGGAAGAAAAAAGAGATAAGTTAAAGTATATGAGAGGGGTTTGGGGTGTGGAACCTGTGTGAGGCTCTGCTGGACTACATTACCCAGCACCACATAAACATGGCATGATGGTACACAGCCGGAATTGACGTACTCAGGAGGTAGGAGGATCAGTTCAAGGTCAGCCTAAGCTACACAGCAAGGTATATGCTAGCCTGGGCTACATGAAACTCTGTGTCAAAGCAATTAAAGTAAAAAGAGGTTAAGCAAGGCAGTGCAGGCCTTTAATCCCAGCTCTCGGGAGGAAGAGACAGGCTGATTTCTGAGAGTTTGAGGCCAGTATGGTCTATATTATGTGTTTAGTTACAGGCTAGCTGGGGCTATATAGTGAATTCCTATCTCAAAACAAAAACAAAATAAAATAGGTTGGGTGTAATGGCACATGCCTTTAATCCTAGCACTTTGGTGGATCTCTGAGTTTGAAACCAGCCTGCTCTACGTAGAGAGTTCAAGGACAGCCAGGACTACACAGAGAGAATCTGTCTCAAAAATAAAAAATAAAGCTGGGTATGGTGGTTAGGACTATAATCCCAACACTCAGGAGATGAAGGCAGGAGGATGGCCAGGACTGTAACCCCAACACTCAGGAGATGAAGGCAGGAGGATCAAGAGTTCAAGACCATCTGGAGCTGCATGGCACTAAATTCAAAAGCTAGAAGAAAATAAAGTGCACGGAAGTCTGTCTATGAGCCCTGTGCAGATGCAATGCCATTTATATGAAGGGAGTCTGTCTGTCTATGAGCCCTGTGCAGATACAGTGCCGTTTATATGAAGGGAGTCTGTCTGTCTATGAGCCCTGTGCAGATACAGTGCCGTTTATATGAAGGGAGTCTGTCTGTCTATGAGCCCTGTGCAGAGACAGTGCCGTTTATATGAAGGGATTCTGTCTGTCTATGAGCCCTGTGCAGATGCAGTGCCGTTTATATGAAGGGAGTCTGTCTGTCTATGAGCCCTGTGCAGAGACAGTGCCGTTTATATGAAGGGATTCTGTCTGTCTATGAGCCCTGTGCAGAGACAGTGCCGTTTATATGAAGGGATTCTGTCTGTCTATGAGCCCTGTGCAGATGCAGTGCCGTTTATATGAAAGGAGTAAGTCTGTCTATGAGCCCTGTGCAGATACAGTGCTGTTTATATGAAGGGAGTCTATCTGTCTATGAGCCCTGTGCAGAGACAGTGCCGTTTATATGAAGGGAGTCTGTCTGTCTATGAGCCCTGTGCAGAGACAGTGCCGTTTATATGAAGGGAGTCTGTCTGTCTATGAGCCCTGTGCAGAGACAGTGCCGTTTATATGAAGGGAGTCTGTCTGTCTATGAGCCCTGTGCAGATGCAGTGCCGTTTATATGAAGGGCTGGCAAATCTGCAGATTTTGCTGTGCATGAAGGGTACTGGAGTCAACCAATTAAATCCCGAGGGGCTGTAATACCTACCTCGAAGGGCTTGGGCGTGAAGAGTAGGCAGGGCGGTGGCTCAGCAGTTAGCACCGGTTGCTCTTCTGAGGGCCCAAGTTTGATTTCCATTTACCCACAAGGTGGCTCACAGTTCCAGGGGACCCAATGGCCTCTTCTGGCCTCTGCACAGATATACATGCAGTCAAAACATGCATCCGCATTAAATAAAAATTAAGATATGATACTAAAGCGTGAAGAGTGCAAGGCACTTTTGGTAGACAGTTAATGCAAATCGATTCTGATTGTTCCGATGTCGGCTGCCGACCACCGCAGAGGCTGTGGCATTGCTCCTGAAGAGGCGGGACCCTCTTCCCTCCCCAGGCATCTCCTATGTTGCTCCTCATCTCAACAATCTCTACTTCCTGCCCCTGTGCCGGCGCTGGGGTGTCTACGCCGTGGTGCGGGGCCTCTTCCTGCTCAAGCTGGGCCTTAGCCTCCTCATGCTGCTGGCTGGCCCTGATCGCCCCGGCCTGCTTTGCTTCTTCATTGCCAGGTATGCCCTGATCACCCTTGCCCCCACACCTCTGCGTCCACCCCCCTCACTCTTGCTCCTCTCTCCATGGGCAGCAACCGTGTTTTCACTGAGGGCACCTGTAAGCTGCTGACCCTTGTGGTCACTGACCTAGTGGATGAGGACCTGGTGCTGAACCACCGGAAACAGGCAGCCTCGGCTCTCCTCTTCGGTATGGTTGCCCTGGTGACCAAACCTGGCCAGACCTTTGCCCCACTGCTGGGCACCTGGCTCCTCTGCTTCTACACAGGTGAGGCTCCTTGTCCAATGAGCTCTGGTTCTGGTGAGGGAGGCAGAAGGGCTGTGCCCAGGCCTTCACTGCCTGGGGTTGATGACCCTCGTTGGCACACCCTTCACATTCTCAGACGTTCATTGATTCCCCCAACAAATCAGCACAGACTTCTGTATAGGCTGGCTCCCGTATGTAAGGGAGGTAACAGTGGTAAGACAGACAATATCTTGGCTGTTGTGGAGCTTAAATTCTAGACAGGGCAGAGTAATTAAGCCTTTAATCTCGGCGCTTGGGAGGCAGAGGCAGATGGGTCTCTGAGGCTAACCTGGTCTACAGAGTGAGCTCCAGGACAGCCTGGAGAGAGAAACCCTGTCTTGAAAAAAACAATTCTAGGGCTGGAGAGATGTCTCAATGGTTAAGAGCTTGCCTGCTCTTCCAAAAGTCCTGAGTTCAATTCCCGGCAACCACATGGTGGCTCACAACCATCTGTAGTGAGGTCTGGTGCCCTCTTCTGGCCTGCAGACATACACACAGATAGAATACTGTATACATAATAAATAAATAAAAATAAAAGAAAAAAAAACAATTCTAGACAGGGAGAGGGGTGGACAGGGTGTCGCATGGATTGGATTTTCAGTGTGGAGTTTCAGGCCAAGAGGCGACATGGTCTGATTGACGTTTTGAAGTTCACTGTCGCTGCCCTGAGGAGTACATACAGCCCAGAGTGGTCAGTAACACGGAGACGTTAAGGAGACGGCAGAGGCTATGGAAGTGTGGACCAGGGAGGTGGCAGGTGGGGCACTGTGGAGCTGAAGTGGCACCTAAGGACAGGTGTGAGGGAGGGACAGCTGAGGACCAACAGATACGGCAGCGACGCTCAGGAGAAGGGAAGAGTGTGAGACACAGCGGGATTGGGCGAATATTAAGAGAGGTTTGAGGCCAGCCTGGCCTCATAGTGCGCTCCAGGTCAGCCAGGGCTACATAGGGAAACCTTGTCTTAAAAAGCAAAGCAGACAGGAAAAGATCTATGGTGGGAACGGGCCAGATGGCACACACCTCTAATGGCAGCAGAGTCACCCTCGACACACGCCTCTAATGGCAGCAGAGGGGTCACCCTCAGCTACATGCCGACTCCGAGAACAGCACAGGCGCCTGAGACTGGCTTTTTGTTTCTCAGGAAACAGACGGTGCTGGGGATGTAGCTCAGCTGGAGAGCACTTGCCTAGTATGCACGGAGCCAGAGCCGGAGTTTGACTCCTAAAACCCCACAAACTCGCTGTGGTGATGGACACCTGTAATCCAAGCACTCAGGGAGTGGAGGCAGGAGGATGAGAAGCTCAAGGCCATTCTTGACCATATAAGGAGTTTAGGGCTAGTCTGGGCTAGATACCCCAACAAGATGAGGAGGAGGAGGAGAAGGGAAGGAGGACAAGGAAAGGAAGAAGAAGCCCTGCATGATGGCACTTGCCTTTAATCCCAACATGTCAGAGGCAGGAAGTGAATTCTGTGTATTCAAGGCCAATTTGGTCTCCATAGCAAGTTCCAGAACAGCCAGGATTACTTAGACCCTGTTTCAAAAAAAGAAAAAAACAAAACAAAAAAAAAATAAAATAAAAAATAAAATATAGCTGGATAGGTGGTTAGGAATTGTGGCGTATACCTATACCTATAATCCCAGCTACTTGTTAAGGCTAAAGCAGGAAACTACAAGACTGAAATCACTGTTTAATTTTTGTTTTTTTCCCGAGACAGGATTTCTCTGTGCTGCCCTGGCTGTCCTAGACACTTTGGTTTTTTTTTTTTTTAAATATTTATTTATTTTGTATACAATATTCTTTGTGCGTGTATGCCTGATCGCTAGAAGAGGGCACCAGACCTCATTACAGATGGTTGTGAGCCACCATGTGGTTGCTGGGAATTGAACTCAGGACCTTTGGAAGAGCAGGCAATGCTCTTAACCTCTGAGCCATCTCTCCAGCCCCCGTCCTAGACACTTTGTAGACCAGGCTGGCCTTGAACTCACAGAGCCTCTGCCTCCTGAGTGCTGGGATTAAAGGCCGTACCACCACTGCCCAGCTTGTTTTAACTTTTTAAGTGTGGTTTAGGACACTTACCTGTACTGCCTGAGATGCCTGTGGACTTTGGAGGTGCAGCTGGGCTGACCACGGTCCTTCTGTGTGTTCTCACCGTAGGTCATGACCTTTTTCAGCAGTCCCCAGTGATCGTGGGGAGTGTCCAGCCGAGGCCAGAGCCCCCAGCCCCGGCCCCAGCACAGGCTGCGACACTCCGCCAGGGCTGCTTCTACCTGCTAGTGCTGGTGCCCATCACCTGCGCGCTGCTGCAGCTCTTCACCTGGTCCCAGTTCACGCTGCACGGGAGACGCCTCCGCATGGTCAAGGCCCAGCGCCAGAACCTGGCACAGATCCGAACGCTGGACATTAAGATGGTGTGAGAGCGGTTGCAAAGCCACTCTGCTGAGGTCCTTGCCCCAGTCTCAGCAGGAACCTCTCCTGCCAGCCAGTATCCTACTTCACCTTCGCTGGGTGCAGCTCAGAGAGCAGGTGGCTGGGGCCGCTCCTGGGGAGGTCTGCCCTTCACTAGCTGGCTGATTGAGCTTGGGCAAGGGCTGGATTGTATGTGCTCAGGAACTGAGGCTCCTGTGGGGCAAGAAGGAAGGAGGACCGGAAAGGGCAGGGGGAGTGTGGTGCACAAGGAGGTGCTGGGGTCCTGGAGCTGGAGCTGGCAACTTGGTGGGTTCAGGAACTTCTGAGATTGTAACTCCTTTTGCCCACTCAGGCGAAGCTGACTGAAGTGCTCCTTGCGTCTCCTCGTGTCATTTCTCCGAGGCTTCTCTGCTTCAGTCGGAAGTAGCATGGCCTCTGTGCTGTGGGCTCCCCAAAGCCCAGCAGGCCTCCAAACTCTAAAGTTTCCAGTAAAGCCAGTCATTCCCACTCCTGAGGTCTGTGCCCTGTGTGTGGGGAGCAGGCGCACAGTGTTGGTGGGGGCTGGGAAGTACCCCACGAGCATTTTCCTAGCTATACTGGGACGGAAATGCAAATTATGAGCTGGACCTGGTGATTTGTGCCTGATTTGTGCCAGTGTTTGGAAGGCTGAGGCAAGATTGCCTCAAGTTCAAAGCTAGCCTTAAAAAAAAAAAAAAAAACCAAAACACTCCCACCACCACCAAATCAGCCCAGCAGACTGCTGGGTGATCAGGCCTGGAGCCAGTTACCTCCGTTGTGGTTCCCACACACCATTGCGGACAGTTGTCAGAAAGGAGCTGCTGCCAGGCCAGGGGCTCGCCACCCTGAACTCACCTGAAGAGCTTCTGAAATACCCTGCCTGAGTTTTCGCCCAGATTCAGACTGGGTCTGGACTGGCCATGGGAGCATTTGTGTGATGCAAACCTCTGGGGGTGATTTTCCTCACTGTAGGACCGTTGCAAACTGGTTAGCAGTGTCCTGGGCCTCCTCTACCTACCAGCTATCAATAGCATCCCCAGTCTCCAGCTGTGATCACTGAACAAGTCCAGATGTTTCTAGATGTGTCCCATGGGCAGACTGATCCTAAAGGGAACCTTCTGCTCTAGGCCAGTGGTTCTGAGGGTCTGCACAGGGGATCAAACTAGGCACACAGCCCAGCCAACAGTCACTCTCTCAAGATTATTTTCGCTTATGTGTATTTTTGTGGTTCTGACAGTCTTTCTGATATGGATGATAAAGCAGCCATACCTTATACTTATTGGGGGAGAGTAAACATTTGTTAGGTATCTGCCAATTTTCTTTCAGATACAGGTTTAAATTATTTATAGTTTTTTGAGTGTAGCCCTAGCTGTCCTGGAACTCACTCTATATAGACCAGGCTGGCTTCAGAGATCCACCTGCCTCTGCCTCCCTGGAGTGCTGGGATTAAAGGTGTACACCACCACACCCAGATCCCTTAATTTTTTTTTTTTCTTTAACAGTTCTGGCTGTCCTGAAACTCGCTTTGTAGATCAGGCTGGCCTCGAACTCACAGAGATCACCTGCCTCTGCCTCCCGAGTGCTGGGATTAAAGGTGTGTGCCACCACTGCTCCACATCCAATTTTTTTAAAAGAACAAATCTTTATTACATTTGTTTGAGTATGTATGTGCACTGTTGTGCATGCGGAGGTCCGCGCTCAGCTTGCTGCGTGGAGTTAGTTCAGGTGGACAGAAGTGTTGGTGACTGTCCTTTCTCTGCAGTCATTGGAATGGTTCAGGCTCTTCAACCATTCCCAAATGCTTTGCGTGGGCAGGTGAGGGGCACTGAAGGGTGAAGGCAAGGTTTCATGCATGCTAGGCAAGTGTTCTACTGAATTGTAAACACCAACTGTCTTTGAGACGGTCTAAGTGTGGAGACTCAGAACTCACTCTTTAACCCAGGTAGTCTTTAAACTTGAGATTCTCCTGCCTTGGTTTCCTGAGCAGCTAGTGTTACAGTCCTAGGCTATACATGAGTTTTAAGAACTCTTATTCTGCCGGGCAGTGGTGGTGCATGCCTTTAATCCCAGAGGCAGGCAGATCTCTCTGAGTTTGAAACCAGCCTGGTCTACAAGAGCTAGTTCCAGGACAGGCTCCAAAGCTACAGAGAAACCCTGTCTCAAAGGAAAAAAAAAACCAAAACAAAAAAACTCTGATTGCAGGGATGCCAAGACAGCCATCATTTGAAGTCAGGCTTTACTCGTGGATTTGAGTGTGCACAGGAATTAGACTCTCAGTTCCCTTTCCATCTACCTAACAGGTTGAGGATTGGTCTGCATATCAGATCAAGACCACAGTGTCCTTTTCTTCCCACCAGGCACTGGCCACAGAAAGGCTGAATCGATGTATCTATTGGAACGACTTTATTTAAGTACACTGGGCCCCACCAGGCAATGTGACTTTGCAAGGCTGTGCAAGGGACAGGCTTGGGCTAAGAGAGGTGAGCTGGTTAAGCACACTGCAGTCCACGGGTTGCCACATCGATGCCACACACACCAGCTTCGGCTTACATCTGGCAGGGGCCTTTGGTCATAGGACGGTGGAGAGAGAATACTGTCTGGAATCTGGAACTGAGGTGGGACTCGATACCACTGGTGAAGGAGCAGGCGAAGACAGCCTCACCCTAGCTTTGTACTATCTGGGTACAAAGGCCCTTGGACCGCTTCTGAGAGCCCGTGTGAGCCCATCAGTTCTTGGCACTTGGGCCCCTTCTCTCCATTCCTGAACAGGTCCAAAGTCAGAAGTGGCTTTGACCAACCCAGAAGGGGCCTCCCTGCCCCTTTCCCTTCGTCTCTCTGGTCAGCTAGAGCGGTCGGTGAAAGGCAACATGGTTAACTGCAGCTTTCTTGGTTTTCATGGGTCTAGACCTCTAACATACCTCCCTCACAAGGGCCTCTGCCAAAGAATGATGCTATTTCCTGTTTGGGAAAATCCAACTGCAACCAGCCTGGTGGTTCCAGGGCAGTGAGCAAGTGGAGGAAGGAGAAAAGAGCCCGGCTGGGGTGCCTTGGTGCAGCCCCCAATCCCGCAGGGTTCCACGGCCTACGAATACTGTCAGTTCATCAGCAGGGAGTGATGGCCATGGGTGCTGTGGAAACCTAGTGCTGTAAACATTAGTGTAAGCAAGGTGACCAGTGGGCAGGGGACAGTGAGTCCTCCCTGTAGCCCCTTTACCGAACAAACACTTCAATAAATAAAACTGTGAAGATGGCATTGAAACAAGGATGGATGAGAAGCAAATAACAGGCCCTGGAGCCCACAGGTCCTTAGAGTTTCCTAAGACCCCTGGATGTGGCTAGGGCTTGTAAATTAACTCTGAAGCTATCTCCTGTCCCAAAATGCCCAGTGTGGTCCTGGTTCCTACCTGCTTCCCGGCTGGACATGAGTGTACCCTGCTCTCTCCTGAACCCAGTCTACAAGCACTGCTGGAGTGTTTTTCAGTCTCCCAAACCCAACCTGAAACAGAGCCAGACAGAACTCAGCCTCAGCTCTCAGTCTGATCCAGAGGCACGGACAGCAGGATGATGAACAGGGCAGACAGCACTGCCTCCAGCCTCGGCATTCTGGGGTGGGATGGGGCCAGCCCAGCCTTGATTGGCAGCAGCAAGGTCTCTCTATGGTAATCACCATAGTTCCACATAGCCAGACAAAGGCCTAGCCGAGAAAAGAGTGGGCCTCTGCCAGAGCTCTTCCCTGGAAGGGGCCAGTTAGTAGTCAACCCCAGGCCTCAGGCCATCCATCCCCATCGTGGGTAGTTCAATGTCCTTTCTGGGCCCGGGATCCCTGGGCCCCACGGCACTCGATATGCGCACACACTCATACCCACACACACACTCACACACAGGCAGCTCCTCTCCAACACTCCAACTCCAGAAAGCGAGTTTTCAAGTGGAGTTAACTTCAGAGAGAGGTGAAGGTGGTGTCTCAGCATTAGAAGGTTTTCCTGTGGATGGATCGGGCACCGTCTTCTTCGTACTCCTTCTTGGAGACCCACATCTTCTTAAAGGTATCCAGGGAGGCAAGGATAGAGCCTCTGGAGTGGAGGAAACCCAAAGGAGCAGCATGAGCGAGTGAGATTGTGCAGCCAGCCAATCCTGCAGGGGTCTTTCTTAAAGGGACAGGGTAGGATGGTGGAATGGTCAAAGCTCTCGTCTCCCACTCTGCTCTTACTCCGTGGGCTACTCACCCAATCCACGTGGAGTACAGCCTCTCCTGGGGTGCAGATATCTGCAGAGGGGTGAAAGGAGGAGTCTAAGACACCCGACCCTACTTACTCCTCTTCTGTGTATGTGAGCATGTGTGAGCACACATATGTATGTGGGTGTGCGCACGGGCATGCACCGCAGAGGCCAGTGTTGGCATCTGGTGTCTTCTCAATCTCTCTAATTACTGAATCAAGAGGCTCTTGCTGAACCCAGAGCTTAGCAGTTCTGTCTAATCTACATAGACAGCTTGTCCTTGGGGTCACCACGCCTACCTGGCCTTTATGTGAATTCTGGGGACCTGAACTCTGGTCCAGATGCTTGCACGCCAAGTGCTTTGTCCACTGAGTCATCTTCCCAGCCCCACCCCTGCCCACCTTTCACTCTGTCTCACAAGTACAGTGGATGGATGCCATGCAGTAAGTTCCTTGCTGGACTGCTGGCTTCCTGCAGGAGCTGTGGTCAGCCCGACACTAAGCAGGGACATAAACCTGTGGCAGGACTTTGACCCCTTTATTTGGGAACTTGCTTTCTGAGTGACTCCCTTCAGCAGTCACTTAGAGGAGTTCTACCTTGAGGGATGAGGGGAGCGTGGCAGCAGTAAAGTCAAACTGTCCGTTTAGTGCTCCGGAAGGACACAGTGGGGTCCTAGCTAAGTTCTCTAACACCCTCGCGTATATAAACTTGACTGTTCTCAGATAGGGTGTCTATGTAGGTCTAGCCTTGAACTTCTGGCAGTCCTTCTGCCTCGGTCTCCACAGTGCTAGGATTTCAGTGGGAGTGAGAACGGGTCCTCTTTGAGGCCATGTACACAATAGGGTCGTTCTATGTGCTAGGAGCCCCTGGCGCTGCCTGTGATTGCCTGAAGAGACCCAGAAGGGGGATATACCACACCATGTGCTAAGTCCTGGGAGCCCAGGTCTACCAGCCTGACCTCCAGCATGCCCCTACCCTGATCTTGACGTCTTTCGGAGCTAGTTTCTTCACTTCACTCAGGAGTCTGTCACCAAAACCTAAAGGGACAGGAAAAAGAGACCCCAAATTAATTCTCTGTACATCCAATTCTTCTAGGATAGACCTTCTCCAACAAGAGTCCCATGAGCAAAGACCAACCTTTGAACAGGGTAGAACCTCCTGAGAGGACGATGTTGGAAAAAAGCGTACGCCGTAAGTCCATGTCAGACTTCTGGATGGCAAACACCAAGACCTCATGGATACCCTCACTCTCCTCGCCAATCAAGTCTGGC